GTGGCTTCACTTCGCTTCATCCTCGGTGTTGAATCTGTGAACCTGTTTTTTTAGTTTCTGGAAGAACTTCTCCTTTTCAAAGAACATTTCCGTTAAACATCTGAATAATTGCGGATTTACATATTTCATATATGCAAACTACACAAACCTCATTTTATCAGAGGAAAATCTTGAACCTCCAACACCAACAGATGGTGCACCAGTGAGGACATTCATCTGCACCAGAGCTTTACTTGTATCAGGCTGTCCTAGTCTAAACATTTACGGATCTATCAAGTCATGACAGAGGACATCACTGACAGTGTCTATTTCATTTGACGGCCGTCGCTGCCTGCCTCACACTGGGGCTCTGGAGAGCATGTGTCTGACCCGTGAGGCACACAGCCCGTTGGGTGAAATGTCTAAATGTTTATGAGCAGACTGAAATGACAAAAACTGCTTTAGCTGTGCCAAAATAATGTCCTCGTTTGACAGGTGACCGAGCAGCAGCAACTGTCAGCTGTCACAAACTGCAATAACAACACCAAACAACCGGGCAGACAGCAACAAAATCCCAATATAATAAGCAATAACACCTTCTAAGGTGTTAGTGCCTAATATATCTTTAGTATCAAATAACACGTTTATACTTCAAGCTTCTGAGCGGTTGTCCCGTTTTCTCTGGTATTACCATGTTATGTCGATATACGGAGTCAGGTTGGTTTCGTACGTGGCTTATCACACTTAATAGGCTCTATAAATTTAGCTAATACTGCAAAGTTAGCACATCTTCATAAATGACTCTTTGCTAACCACAGCGAGGTTGCCATATTTCATTAACTTAATCTCTAACAGCCGTGTTTGCGTTGTCCTTTTTCATTAGCAGTCTTAACTAGTTTTGACAGCTCGTAAGTGACGCAAAAGTGAATGATTTCGCTAATACAAAGTAAATGTCATTTCTTCACGCCATAAACTGAAGAGCAGATGCGACGTTTTCCTTGCAGGTGCTGTAAAATGCGCCGAACTGAAACTAAACGCAAACTTGCTCGGAGTTGAAGCCCAGGTGACTTCAAGCTCGGTTTTTTTTTTCTCTCTCGTCTCCCTGTCAGACTTAAAACCAGGTAAAACACACACACATACACACACACACACATTCCCCTACCTGCAGGACACCGTGATTTCAACTTTGGTGGCAGGAACAGAAGGGTTGAGCGGGTCGAAATCTACTATCGACGCCATGCTTAGGAAACTGTTGTTCATCCTGTCAATGTTTTTCCTCCTTTTCCCCTTTTACTGCGGTCCTGCCCCTTTTTACGAGCGCTGAAGGAGGATAGCGAGAAACTGTGTTTGCGCCTCCTCGGCGAGAACTGGAGCAAAGGTGCCAGAGAGAGAGGGGCTGGAAGATGTGATGTCACACTACTCTCGCCTCTCTGTGTGTATTCCTCTCTTTCTATCGCCCTTCCCTCTTTTTCTTTTATTTTCATTCTGCCACTCGCTTCCCGTCGGTGTCTTTCTGTCTGTGTCTCACTCCTGTTCAGTTCTGCTGACTTCTGTTTAGGTCATTGAATTTCAGCAGCCTCACATTTACAGGCATGGAAGTGCTGACACTGATACAATCGCCAATTACGCAAAAACAATAAATGTGTCATGAAAA